TATACACGGGTCTCTCAACCTTCACATACACATCCAGACACGTCTGTCCGCTGCTCTGGTCTCAGGACGCCAGCCTACTACAAGAGATAGAGCAGAACCAGGTTACAAGCATGCTCTTATTGATGGCCTGATCACCTGATTCTGCACAGCTGTCGGATCACCGGCTGAGCCACTCCTCCTTGTTGTCCAGCAGTTGGCGCCCTAACCATACCCCACCGCCACAAACAGATTTTGCTGAATGTGTACCACTAAAGTTATAGTAGCAAGGAGATTGAGGTGTCTTACCAGTGGGTGTGGTGGCAATTTCTGTGAAACAAGCACAAAGTCAAACACTTCTTTCTGAAAGTTTAATTCAGCATCTGCAGATGGACTCATCAGTACACATCACCTGAATGACATGCACAAATGAGCAAAGAACATAGGAGAATCTGTGTTCTTATAACTCTCAGCCCCCTCCCACTAAGCATGCAAAGGTATTTATTACCCTCCTGTAGTTTCACTCAGTGGAGGAGACATCCTGTCCATTTGTTTACATGTTCTGTGGATGACCCCCCCCCCCGTGAGACCCCAGTTGTTTGACCCCAATCAGAGATACCATGAGAAGCCATAAAACTCAAGTCTCTTAAGCCACCATCGTAAACCTTAAAGTTGCCCTTTCAGATAAACAATTTGTTGAACCATTTGGTAAGTCCTCCACATACATATCTGCTAATGCAATTAAACATTCACAAATGTAAAAATTCCCATTACATGGGTCTCCCAGGGGGAATAAATTCTGGCAAAAGTGGCTGACCAAGGACACTTCTGCTGAGGTCATTAATGCTCTACATCAGGCGGACATCAAAGAGTTTAGCATGCGATGCACCAATCACACCGACAGCTGCATGGGCTCGGTTAGTGTTCCATCTGGAACCACCCTCAAGCATGTACATCTGAGTGTGCATAGTGTTGGACCTGCAGCCTTAAAAGATACAAAATTTGGGGGGTTAGTGAAAATAATATGACATTGGAATATAATTCAATAGCAGACATGCAGAGGGTATGGGTCATGGCAAAGATATACAACTTCTATTTACCCGGGATAAAGGTGCACTGGTAGCGATGGAAACTTTCCACAGAAGATGACCCCCTGCCACATCTGAAGACATCCAGGATCATGTCCCCCTTCTGCAACCCAGAGCGAACTCTGGTGTACAGTTCAACCCCAGGAGGATCTTGGATGCATGCCACATGCTTCTGCTGCACCTCCCACACATGTTTCATGCTCTCAGGGTTGATCAGTTGCAAACCTGTGGTGTCGGTCAGTTCCCACATGGACTTCAGCAAACCCTGGATCAGCCTCCGCGTTTCCTCAACCCCCCTCCTCTTACAGTGCCTGGTCATTTCACTGGAGCTGATGTTTGCCAGGACTTGAGCCTCTGTAGGCACATGACCAGCATGCTTCTTCATCATCTCCGACTTCTGCATAATCGACTGTGAAAAGAGTTTAGATACATTTATTTCATTGTAAACAACCGTGAAACAATAAAAGCAGGGCTAAGATGACAACACATTATCTAGTTTACATGCTTTAAAATAGGCTACACAGTGGTTTATGGTGAATACACCAAAATATGTCACCATGGCGTACCTTATGATATCCACATCTGCAGGGAATTTTGTTCCCGAAAATATTGTACTTGCGCACTGATAGGTTGTACACAGGAGTCAGTGGACAGGAGTTGATGAGCTGCATGGCAGCCTTCCACTTCTTAGCCCCTGGCTTCTTTCCTGTGGTAAACCTGTACTTTCCCTGGGCATACTGGGACATGACTTCTGCCCAGTAGGAGTCGGGTTTACCAGTCTTTTACCCACTGTTATATTCTCTGTGTTTAATATGTTTACCGGACAATCACAGCCCATTGTGGGGGTAACGAAGTACTCGTTACACCGCTGATTATAACGGCGGAAAAAAGAGCGACATTTGGCACGAATAAAACAGGACAGCAACAAAGATATAAAGTTAAAATGTACTTACTGTAGTTCTTCTCCGTGTAGAGTGAGCATACCGAAAAATTTCATTCATTTATCTGCAAAGACCAGTTGAGAAGGGGCGTGTCTAATGGGGGCGTTTCCACTGTCACATGACCATGACGTCACAGGGACTACCCAATCAGTAGGTCCAAACCGAAGTCCTAACAACTAGGACTTCGGTGCGACAACCACATTGGCAACATTGGCATCTCCAGCTTGTGCCTCCCTCACTGCTGTCTTCTACAAATAGAGATGCAGTTAGACACAATCATGTTTTAATACTTCTTGACTTTTTAACACGTGTACCATTAGAGATACTCTGAAAATTAGTTCCAGACTGGGAAAAGTCACATGAAGCCATCTCAAGTCAGCAACAGCAACTTGGAAAGTCACAGAAGGTTTTGGTATCTGATTCACCAAATCAAACAAATTAACAATCAGCACTAAATAGTTTTTAAGCTTCTAATTTTAACTTGTCACATGTTACACATTTGCAAATTGCATGTCCATCCCTCACAAACACATTTTATCCAAAACTAATATATTTATGATAAACGTGCATACGTTGTACATGAGATGTACATGCCTGTTGCACCTTGTTTAAACACCTAAACACACAGAAGCAAGACATTTTGTTTACAGCATCAGTGTTTTTTCCACATTCCACCTTCAGAACACATGAAGACACATACGCTGGAATAACAACTCAGGAAAGAGGACCTTTTGAGGAGTATGTGAATGCACAGTTACATCTTGTCACAGACTCGCTATCCAGCCATCATGTTTGACACATTGTTCCATCAAATTACCTTTGTTTGTTTTTACTCTGATCCACTGTAACACAAATGCTGTGTGTGTTTGTTTTTACTCTGATCCACTGTAACACAAATGCAGTGTGTGTTTGTTTTTACTCTGATCCACTGTAACACAAATGCTTTGTGTGTTTGAAGTATAATTTTGTCTGCTACTTATCTGCTCTCTTTGCTGTCGTTTCAAATTCTGGCCATCACACAGCTCTCGACTAGTTGGAGATAAAAAGAGAAATCAGCAAGGACTTCACCAAAGTGGAAGTGATATCTCATCTTACATCTGATCTCAGAACAGCATTTGTTCCCATAAAGGATCCAATATTTTCTATTCCCCTCCATCTTGTAATTTACTATTGCCATCTGGCCGCAGCAGGTTGTTGTCTGGCTTGACTATCCACTGTGGCATCGACCGTTTTATGGCACTGTTATGGTTGTTGCCATGTCCCGTTGACAAAGTCTGAATTAGCATTCAGAGAAATCTTGCTCCCCTCTCTGATTGACAATCCCCAATTTACGTAATTAAAGTAAATGTAATACATAACATAATAAATCTTTTAATTGTGTTCTTTTAGCTATAATTTTTATATATTTTTTTCTCTTGATCAAGGTTTAGGATTATCTGTAAGTGTAACTGAATTACTGTACGGTGCATTATATTGCAAAATTAGATGAAGCAAAAATATAATTAAACAGTTTGTGTTCCACAAAAATGTGTTTCTTTGACAAAATAATCTTGCTGATTTATGCAGTGTTTTTTAATTACAAACAGTGATTGAGTTTTGGTTAGTTCCCAAATTATGTTTATTGAGACAAAAAACAAGTTAATTCATGAAATGTGTTGTATTAATGTACTTTTATCATATTGCAAATAATTTGGGGTCAGTTTTATATTCTATTATGAATAATGTGTCACATTTGTAGTGTTGTCAGTTTAAACTTAACCATAGTTGAAATCTTTAGTTGTAATTCTCGATGCAATTCAGTTAGGACATTGCTTGGATTATCTGCTTCATTGCAAGCATCATTTAAACAAACCCTGGAGTTTATATAAGTGCTTTAGAGTTGGTTGTGATTTTGTCGACACAGAGCATTTAGAGCTATTTTCAACCATAATGTATCTGCCCTTGTAAACGTTAACTGTCAGACAGCTGTTGCCACTTTCAAATGTGGAATGGCATTGTGTGAACACCAGTGTCAAGCCGCAAAAAAAATCGAATAGCTCACCAGGAGGAGCGTACTGCAGAACGACATGCTGTGAATTCTGAATTTCAGTGTGAGGATCCAAATCTGCGTGGACCAAAGCGCACCACTGACAGTTAAAATTGTCATTAGTAAGGTGTTGCCAGACCTGCCAGACTTAATTCTAAATATTTTAGAGATGTTTCCTGAAGCTGTGATAGTGTTTGGAGAGGAGGGAAATACCAAGCCCAAGGTTACGGAGAGAGATCATCTGGTTTGTTGTTTGTGAGATGATAAATGCCTCTGCTTCTCCCAGTAAATAGGAATCCATAAAAGTTGCCAAAAAATGGTTGCCAAGCATCCACAGGCACTGGAAGATTTCACAATAGTCATTGTTGCACCAGTATATTACTCACAGGTCAATGCCTAAATTGAAAATGCAAAGTGGTCTTTAGTACTAAGGAGAATGAAAGCACAAACAGGTCAGATGAGATAAAATCCCAGCCAAAGAAACAACAGCTGTTCAGGACACACATGGCTGCATTACGTTGGACATGAAATTCACGCCATTAAGTCAGATGCCAGAAAGGATGAAAAAGGTGAAGGTGATCCGTACAAAACTGTTATGAAGTGCACCCACGAGTCTGAACGTAAAGAGATACTGATTTATAATTCTTCATGGTCTCTTGTGATCCATTTCCACAAACTCACTGGGGTATCACAAAAACAGACTTTCCTCATGAGAGGATGGGTCGAGAGCTGCTGATTTCAAGAACATACTGAGAAATGGAAGAAAACTTTTTCTGTCAGACAACTCAGGTTCAAATGTTTAGTGCAACAGTAGAACAGGTTAGTGTTTGGCATCTAGGCTCCGACTTACCGCCCCCCCCCTAGACCGACTAATAAGGTGGGTGTGAATTATAGATGATTGTGGAGAGTGAGGTATGTCACATGATGTGTGTCGCATGATTAGAGCAGCTCAGCTCAAGTTGGCTGCCTGAACTAGCTCGCAGGCGTCGCTCCATTAAAAAAAATAGCAAATGATTCAAGATTAGAATTCAAACACATGGTGCTTTTCTTTTTGTTGTTAATAATGGAAAATTATAATTAAAAAAGTGGTTTGAGTTCAAGTTTTTGTTTCATATAACAAAGAATAAAATAGCCAGAAAAAGCATATTCCCATGTACAGTACATAGCTAAACTCGAAGCTACTGGATATTCTAATCCAAGGCCAAGTGTTGTCTTAAATATTAACAGTTTTATCAATGAGGAAAAGTTTCCGAAGTCTTACACTTTTCTGTTCTCATGTGTTTTGAGGCGTAGTATTTCAGTTTTATAAAATTGTTCTGAGGTTTTCAAATGTGGAACACTAAATGAGTAAAAGTTTGTATAAATGATTAACGATAAAAATAATTAAAATTCCTCACTTAGTCCCTTTTGTTTGACTTTAATTTTCCATTTCTTATAACAAGATGTAACAACGAATATAAAATAAAACGCAAAGTCACAATTGGAGTGTATGGCTGGTGTACTGTTCATTTTGTACCTGTAGGAAACTTCTTCTGTTCCTTAGCAGCCTTTAAATATCAAACAGAGAGGTGAAGGTTTGATTTGGTCTTTCACAGTCTATAATTTGCCCTATCACCTCAATATCCTTTATACCATGGATCTTTGCTTTACACTCGGGTGTAAGAGGTAAATAACCACTGTATATGATTTTTTTTTTAAATTATCAATCCAGAGAAGGGTACAGGAGATGAAAGAGATAACTGAGTGGAGACAACTTAATAATGGATTTTAACCTTTACAGTATGGAAGCTTAAAATACACATTAACACTGCTTGGTTAAAGAAGAGCTCTTGATTCTGAGATTTTCAGCATTTGAATAATACTGAAACGCTATGTGGTTTTGACGATAAATGTATAAACTGTTATCATAATGCATTCTGGAAAAAGCTGTCAGTGGAGTTGTTGGATTCCTTAGTAACTCAAAATAGTTAAGTAGATTTTGCCTTTAATTAACCAGGAAGATCCAAATATCTCATCTGCAGGTCGCAAATGCAAATTAAAACGTTTTACATATAAATAAGATAGTTGGGACCTTGAGTTGCCCATGAACACTTTTGTACAATAAAAATAGATCTAAGACAGTGATGTCCATTGAACCATTTATATATAATCTAATATATCTACAGCGATTGGTACAGGCGGTTGCACCTATTAGAAAAATGTATGTAACACATCAGGCTTGCATGCATATAAATAACATCATTAAGATATAGATGGACAGACCTGCTCACAGTTATGCTTTAGAAATCATAAAAAATTATTTAGAACATTAGCCCACTAATATCCTACAGCAAGATTAGTACAAGTTAGGGTTCACTGGAGGAGGCTTCAGGTATGTACTCTGAGTGAAGACCTATCAATCTGCTGGCGTTGGCATGTGGATTAGAACAGCTTGCACCAGTAATTGTTCATTATGTTTGTAAATGTGTTCTTTATGCCTTGCCAGTCATTTTTTGAAGCCTGTCTCATCTATACAAAAATATTTATGCACCAATGCCTCAGTACCTCAAGGTTTCTCTGCCACTTTGATTGATTTGACAGATATATTGCACAACCTGTTTCATAAAGGATCTTGCACTTTTGTTCTTTAGTTAGGTGCCTTCCGGGCTGTAGCTCTGTAAATAGAAACTTAATATCAGAAGAGAATTCTGACAATATAATGCCTCTTGACTTCAAAATACACAATGCACGATGCTTATTTTACTTCACATTGTCTGTTTAATAAATAATAATTATAAGA